TTTTACTGAGACTTTAAGGTGCATTTTAATATCTTAAAAAACCCTGTCTAGTTTTAGCAAAATGCAGTAGTAAATGTCTCAAAATGCAATGAGGGTTAAATGATGCCTAGCAGAATACCATAAAATGGTATGGATACGTTTTTCAAGGTTGCACGTGTTTGTTCTTTTTTGTGGTTTTTGTGTGTATGTGCTTTATTACTTTGTTAACTGCCATCACCTGGCATAAGAATGCCACCTGCGTATTTTTAGCAGCATCCAGTTTAGTGGATGAGTTATTTCTCTGTGCCAACTACAAAGTCAAAGCAGTGGATGCAAACTTCTCTAAAGAGACGGGGGTCTACGGTGCATCTTCGAGGCACAGCAGGCAGCAGCTAGCGAACCTTGAGAAGTTTCAGTATGGCTTCAGATACTGCTCACTGTGTAGTTAATCTGCTATTTGCTGCAAGGAATGAGTTACACGTTGAGACTTCAGATAGCATCTTACCATATGTATATCTACATATAAAAATAAGATCACGTGCTGAAAGGAGTAAAAATTTCTCTTTAAACCAGGATATACTGATTTATAGTGAAACTATATCTTGCATAGAGGCAGTTTCCAAAGTTGTCCTTAGTTACATGTCTGATCAACATGAACTTATTGCACAATTAGGCTGATAACTTACTAAGGTCTCTCCTGTAAGTAATGTTAAGGCAGTTAGGGGTCTGTTTGAAGAAACAGCAATCTTCAATGGAAACAGAGAAGCTGTGACAACTAAAGCAAATGTTAAGGAGTGAACTCTTCCACAGGACCAGTAACTGCTTGTGGATAAATAATTTTAGTTGTCCCCAAGCATCTCCCACAGAAAGTGTTCCTCTAGCAGGCAGCAGCTACTCTGAGTGAGGTCTGTTGGCTGCTCTGTCTTTGCTGTGCCCAGGCTTCTGGTGGACAGCTGGGTCAAAAAGCTCAGGATAACTACATATTGCTCAGTTTGATGGGTGTGATATGAAAGTCAGCTCTTTACACAAGGAGACTTTTAAAATCTTTAATGGAGATATTTCAAATCCCATGAACTGGTGTTACACCAGAAACTAAGCTGATAAATTGTCAGTTATCACTGTCTTGGATAATCCAGACACAGAAGTCTGACATAACAACAGTCCTTAAGCAGTTTTCCTCTTGTTAGAACAAAGAAATGGTGGATTAGTGCAACTGAGAATTAGATCTGAATTCTGTGCCATCCGAACCCAATGCTAACATTTATCTCAGAGCAGGATGCATACTTTGGAAATAAGGCTGCTCTAATGAGCTTTTAAGAACACAAATGATAACACTCTCGATTTTCTTTAGCAGTAATTTATTTCCATAATCTCATTAGATTTGAATTTCGACCTTTTAGAATTTTTTTATCTAAATCCATTTAAGATGTTTCTGAAGGGCTTAAGAGGCAGTGAGAAGTTAGCAGCTTTCATATTAAAAATATAAGGACTTTTCAAAATGAAACATTCAGTTCTTACAAAGCCATATATTTAGAGCCACACATTCCTCACTGTGCAGCAAAGTAAAAACTAACAGAAATTTGAGAAGAAAATCAGCCTTCCTGTGCTGTGCTAACATGGCCTTTGCTATGCAGCATCTAACACATTCTCTGGTTTATGGTTTTCAGTGTTGAGAATTATCCTACAACCAAATTGGCTCAACTATTAGGATAATTTAGACTGATTATCAAGGAAGTGGTCTTATCTTGTTTTATCCTCTTGTTGTTAAGAATTGCCTCTTAGACCACCTGCAGCAGCCCTTCTTTCTCACCTTTTAATGCACTGTACGAAGGTAATTTAGAAAGCAGGGAGCAAAGCTTTACATCTTCTGAACTACAGGCTAAATCTGATCAAGGACGAATTCTTTGAAACCAAATACATAATGCACATAATGTAGAAATCTGCTGCTGTTCTGATTTATTTCCAATCCGTAGAATTGTTCACATCAATTATCAGAAGGTTTGGCTTCCACTGATTATAACAGATGTGCTTCCTCTAAAATGTCTGGGGAAAACATAATGAGTGGTAAAGATTTTCAAAGTAATACTGTCATGCTTTCACTTTGGCAGTAATTTCAGAGGGAATTATGTGGTCTGTCTTCACCATTTATACTAAGGTGCCAATGACCCAGCACGTTGTTATTTACTTGTAGTATATTCACTTGTAAGTGGTTTACATGGAAGCTTCTCTGTGCTTTTTAGCTAGTGAAGAGATCAGTAGCTGCTTGTCTGCTTTCCATTGTAGATTCCTATTTGGTCTTTCATCCTAGACCAAATTCAGAACTGTATCTGGCATTATCTTATACAGAAATTACTAATACATTCTTAAGCACAATAGCAGTTCTCGTAGAAATGGAGTGCAGCAGGAGAATTAGCACAGTGACAGCACCTGAGTGCACCCTTGGATGTGCCCTCATTAGAGTGTTATTGTGTACATACCCAGCAAATACAAGACTCCAACAAATGCAGATGTCTTTGCTTACATTCGGTGTGCCATCCTGTTTTACTCCTGAAGGATAAGTAAAACACAAAAGCTTATTATTGCAAGGTTTCTGTTAAATCTATGTTTCCTGTGCAGTTTTTCCTGTTTCAGTGTACTGAATCTGCTTTCTTGCAACTGGATTTCCTCTTAGTTACTGTCAGAGAGGAGGGCAGGGTCAGCAGCTTCTGCAATAGGAGGCTTCAGAGATGCATGGCTTTCCCACATAGATGTTGTGTAGGGAAAGGTGGTGGGGGACACATCCTCCCCTAGCTGTGGCTGTGAATTGGCAGGTTGGCTGACAGAGGTGTATGTGAGGTAATTAACCAAGCACATCACTGTATGAGGCTTCTCTTCAAGGAGCTGCCAAGCTGGCTGGCCTGACTGGAGAAACCATTTTCAGCATCAGGGCATTTTAGCACACTAATCAGTTTGTATTTATTACCAAACACCTGCGAATGAAATGAGAGTAGTAGCAAAGAAGCAAATGTGCAGTTGAACAAATGTGTGGCACTGAGCAGTGCCATGATTTCACAGTGATGCTGATCTGAAGCAGGCAGCTATTAAGGTGGAATGCGAGGTAGCAATGTCATCTCCAGGTGTTAAGTAATCCATCTTGCAAACAGCATTTCCTTAACATGTAAGGAATTGCTGGTTTAAACACAAGGATAGTTCTCTGGCAAAGTTTGGCCTTCTGTACCTGAGATGTATCTGGGAGCTGATGTGACCCATATGTGGCGAGAGATCTGCGTGAGAATGTCAGAGTGGATGCTGATGGGGAATGATCCCTGCCTGGCTGTCATGACATAAAAGAGACACTGAGCTGAGCCATGAGAGAGCAAAGTGCCATAAGAAGGAACCTGGGCAGTACTGAGAAGCAAGATTTAAAAAATGGTAATGCTGGTTGAAGGACTTCACTCTGAGAGAAGGCAAAAATACCAGATTTGGCAGCTGCCAGCATCTCAGTCTTGAGAGACATATCTGTCAGGGGGCTGTTCAGCTGAACTCTGTTCTCCTTATATTATTCATCACCCCAAAACTGAATCTGTGTGCTCTACATCAGGTAGATGCAAGCTGGCACTGCCACTGAAAGGGTTTGGCTGCGGTTTCACACACGTTTTTCCAAGATTTCTTGGATTAACCCCTCTGCTTAAGTGTATTTGAATTCTGGATGTCTGACTGTCCCAAAACTGGGTTTGGGACTTAATGGTGATGTCTTGCTTTAAAAGTTGTTTTGTTGCTACATTCTTGCCAACATCAGGACTGTTTCTGCCCCAGAATCACCCATTGGGCACCCAGGTGCTCACCAGCATTCCTCTTCAGTTCAGAGCTGGCTGATTGTTTCTTAATGGAAAACTTAGAGGAGAAAGTTGCGCTTGAAATTTTCCTTAGGAAGCTGGCTGCAGTGGTGGTCTTTGCTCCTCTGTCTTGCTATTTGTTGCCCAGCTCTGATTTATCACCCAGTGCAGGGTTTGTTCTAGTTTTTCTACATACAAGAGGGTCCTGTCCTTCACATAAGTGCTCAGCTAATCTGGAAATCGTAGTCCAGACAGATGTTCAGTACTCTGTGACTTCTTCTCTTCAAGTAAATAACATGGTTTGCATATGAAAGGGTGTTCTCTGCCTAAGTCTACTCTTCCAGAAGTACACATTTTTTCAGCTGTAGCAATTGTTGAGATTGCAGCTGAAAAGTTTCTCTAGTTACAGCAATGCCTTGTTGTTCCTTTAAACAAATGCTAATTTCAAAGAATAAGATATATAACAAAAAGATGAAGTTGTCAGAATTCCTTTAAAATACTTTATATTGTTGGCACTCAAATTCAAATGCACGATTTTATGCCTATTCCTAGAAATATGCAATTTCTACATAGCCCTGGGAATAAAATCAGTTTTTCTTTTATCAGCTCAGGCTGTTACCTCTGGTCTGATTCTGCTTTTTACTTTCTAGTTTGAAATACTGTGACCTACCTAATTATTTCACTGCAGAGAAAAGGAAGTCTATTTCTCTTTTCCTTACAACTTCATGTTGCTGTAGCACACTCCACAGCCTTTACCCATTACAGCCAAAGTGTGCTGCATACAGCTCATCAGTGACTTAAGGACTAACTTCCATTTGACCTAAATCCTTTCATTTTCAGCTCAAATTCCTGCTGCTGCACCTCTTGTTGCACTGTGTGATATCTGTGTTAGTGTTCTCATTGGTTTTGGTGTGACTGCTGGCCTGATAAAGACAATTCATTTGAAAGAGCAGATACAAGCCAAATGCTTAAATTCAGGAATGTGCTGCAGGGTATTCTTCCTAAGGCCACACACAATGTTATCTGTAAGGCTCAGGAAAAAGCACATTTCCAAATGTAGGATTTGGCTTAAAGGATAAAACAGGGTGGGGCTTTTCTCTCTTAATTTGTCAGCTTTCCCTAAGAAGCTGCGTGCCATGTTTATTTTGATATGTCATCCATTTCCCTGAAAATTGTTTAATACTAGATTTCATTGTTATTTTTCAGGTGTTCAAATGAAACCATATTCAAAAAGGAAGATTTGTTTTGGGCATATAATTTCTGCCCCACTCCATACTCCTGGACAGCACTTCTGGGCCTTATTTTATACTTGGTTTTCTTTGCGCCTGGTAAGCTAATGTTTGTTTTCACATTGAAGTTTAAGAAATTGTAAAGGTGAAATAATAAATGGTGAGGCTACACATTAAACTTGCTCTTCAATGCAGCCATTAAACTGAGATTGATATGTTTTTAATTCTCAGGGATGGGTCCCATGCCCTGGACCGTGAATTCTGAAATCTACCCTCTGTGGGCTAGAAGTACAGGAAACGCGTGTTCATCTGGAGTCAACTGGGTTTTCAACGTGCTGGTGTCACTGACCTTCCTGCATACAGCTGAATATCTGACCTACTATGGTAAGGAACAGTATGTGTCCACGGACACAGTGCTAGCATTGATTTTCTGCTGGTTAGATCCTAGATCTCGGTTGGTTTGGCTGTGAAATTGCAACTGTGGATGCAGTGTTCTCAGCTAACTGTGTTCCATTAAGACCAGGGACCTGGTATGACCTGCCTGCAGTTTTGGTCCTGCTTCCATAAGAAATGCTTCTTTCTTTCTGGAAAGTTGCATAAAGCAAAGAAACTGAAAAAATTACCTTTTGGCTTGGTGAAATATTTCACTTAGAAAGACAACATCTGCAATTTTTCATTTTGTAATGGCATCCAAGACCATTATCAGTTGTCATTGCCAAAACTCTGTACAGCTGAAGATGCTACTGATCTGCTCCCAGCTGTCGATTATTGAGTCCTGTCTGCTGGAGCCTGTGGAGAGCTGGTCAGCTTACTGCTCAGCCCCTCCACTACAAGTCCTGTACATGGCATTAAGATCTCATGACCTTCACATCATCACTGGTGCAGAGCCTTTCAGCTGCTGCTGTTGTTCTTTTAAGGCATTGTCTTGAAACAAACGGCTCGTAAATGTTGGGCTTTTGGTGCCTGCTTTGCTCCCCATTATTGGGGGGATAGAGACAAATATATGAGGGGCAGTGAGATCTTTCTCACTGCCAATTGTCTTTGGTAAGTGATTATTAGGTGTAAGAGTCTCAAGCAGTATTTTAAGCATGGCTGTTTCTTTTTTGCTGAAGTTTCTCATTTTTGGAAGCAGTCATAGTGATTCCTGTGATGTTAAGAATAACTAAGAAACTTCTCACCCTTCCTATCAACATTTTTTTTATTGGCTATGCAGTAATTTAATTGCTGCTTATTTTAACTTATTTAACTTATTTTCACTTATTTTAACTTATTTAAGCAAAACAACTTGCCAAAAAAGGATGAGTATTATCTTAAACAAAATTGCTTTTGTTAACTGAATACAGCACAGTAAGGCAGTGCTCTCCTACACCTCAGCCAAGCAGCTGGTGGTGTTACAGATGCAGCTCCAGCCTTTGCAGTCCTTTGTGCATCGCTTTGCTATCTGAAGCCTCTGCTTCTGCCTTTCCCAGAGGGGTGGGATGCTCTATCACTGACTGTGTGTGTTCTTTTGTATTGCAGGAGCCTTCTTTCTGTATGCAGGGTTTGCTGGCCTGGGACTCCTTTTCATCTATGGCTGCCTTCCTGAGACTAAAGGGAAAAAACTAGAGGAAATTGAATCTTTGTTTGAAAGCAGGCTATGTACCTGTGGTATGTCAGATTCTGATGAAGGGAGGTATATTGAATATATTCGGGTGAAGGGAAGTAATTACCATCTTTCTGACAATGATGCTTCTGATGTGGAATAATTTTCAGCTGCTAATGTATTTAATCATGTAAAAGCCTTCTGGGGGAAAAGCAGCTCTCTGGTGACCTCACTGCCCTGCTTCTGGTCTGGTTCTCCTTTCTGCTGTCTAGTTAAAAATGCCTTCATGTTCAAAATGGCTCCGTTTGGGAGGAAATTCAATATGCTCATGTTTTCTTGATAACTAAAGCAATGGGTTTCAAAAGAGATTGAATTCCACAATTACATGAATTAACCAGATGTTTGCAATCCCACACCATGCTGAGGTATTTTGCATGATGTACTGTGCCAGATGAATGTAGAAGCTATCCTAGGTGCTCAGTGGTTGTCCTTATCTTCAAAACTGACAAAAGTTGAAGTAATGTTGTAGCTAGTCAGAAAGCAGCTGACATCAGTTGTATCCCCATCTCTTAGCCTATCAGACAGCTCTTGTATGCCACACAGCAAAGGTTGCTGCTGCAATGGTAGCCATTTGAAAGGATTAACTGATTGTAAAAGCTACACATATCTCCCAAGTCTATCAGAGGGAAAGTTGTCCAAATTTATCCCAATGGAATTTCATTTGAATTCATTTGAGATAACTGTAGAGAGCCATGATCACCTAGGTGGTGCCTCATTAGGGTGGCACGAGTCTGTTGCCCCAGGTTGTGTTGAGGTTACTGCTCTTTAAGGACACACTGCAGTGAGCAGTTTGTGTTTGTGAGATCCACTGCCAAAACCACATTCTGAGAGCAGGAAACAGAACCCAGGACATGGCTGCGTGTACCAACGAGCTGGTGGTGTACCTTGCTACAGACAACAGAGAGGCTACAGTCAGATGGAAATTAACGATTTTTGTTCTCCTTTTCAGCATGTGTACATTTGGGTCTGTGCCTAGTTTTGAACACAAAATATCATGAGCTGGAAGAAATAAAAGGAAGGGAGAGGTTTTCTGCTGCTAAATGCACAGTGGTCATTCCTCCTGTGCCTTTTGCTAATGAATAATCAAATTGCCTTCAGTTTATCTTCCTATTGCAGGGTGAGTGAATCCCAGCAATTTTTTCCTTCAAATGCCCTTAGTCAACCCGTGTCTTTTTGGATTGAAAGAAAAATATTAGTGATGGGCAGAAGCCTACATCTCATATTAACTGCCTTACTGAAGCATTGCAAAATTGTCAAGAAACCATCAGGCACAAAAATCAAGTTGGCTGCCTTTAGTGTGGTAATGAAAATATTAATGGTGTTTTATTCACCTGCCGTGATTGCTTGCCTTGGCAAATTGAATTTTATGCAGCTACATAAAAGTGTAATGTTATTTTTTTTCCTTGCCCTGTTTCCTTCCACGGCTTTAATTCTTCAGAGGTATGAGTTTGAAAGCATAAAAAATTCAAATTCTTATCTCTGAAACCTTTGCTTCATGAATGTGGAAAACTTCCTCTGCCTGTAGGCTGCTCCCCATTTGCTTGGTAAAAATACATTTATTTTTCATTGTGTAAGGATTAAAGAAGTTGTTGGGTTCACTACCTTTTATAGATACACTTTGTGGGCTCTTTTTTGATTGAAAAATATTTTGAGTGTAAGAGAACTGTCAAAATGATAGTGGACATTTGTTACTAAGTTATTTTTATTGGATAATATGTGGAGTTTTCATTGTAATCATGAAGTATGATGCTATGCTGTCTGATCTTATACGGGAGAGGTTTCTTACTCTCTAATTATTGAAATTCAGTGATTGGATGTATTTTAGGTTATTTTCTTTTTTACTTCATAAATCAAAGAAATATTTTTGGAAAGAAAATATTTTAGAGCATTCTTCTGTAACGAGACTGGGAATAAAAGGGAAAAGCATAGCAAACAGGAGCAGTGAGTTATTGCAAAGAGCAGAATGACCTCAAACCTCTGATGGGCAGTGACAGGGCTGCATCCCAATTCTCCACCCTCCTTCCCTCCCTGTAAGTGCACAATATTCCCAGGCTTGTAAGCACCAGCAGCTGAAAAGGACTGGCTCTCCGGCCCTTTATCCAAATGCATCAGTTTCAGACCATCTGTTGGGCTGCTGCCACTTCAAAGCCTCACCAAAGGTGCAGTACCTGAAATGAGAGAAAGGGACGCTTGTCACAGATGAAGTTCAGTGTGAACTGATTTCCTTCTGAAACCAAAAAATAGCTGTTGGAAGACCCTTCTTCAGAGCAGGTTTGTTATCCAGAGCAACGTGTGAATAGGTGCTTACTGCCCAACGTGTGCACACTGGGATGCTACACAAAGACAGACCGAGGCAGGTATTTCCTGGCTTTTCAGGACAAGGACTTATGGCTCTGATCCCCAGAAGCGTGAGCCCAAGGTCCCTTGATGGAAGTGGTTTGTGCTCCCAGTTCCAGCACTTACTTCCATGTCCACAGGTAGAGGAAACAGCAGCTCTTTGATGTCATAACCAAAGTCAAGTCCCTATGAAAACTGCCATCACAAGATCAGCCTCTTTTTTTTCTTGCAGGCAGTGCTGGGACTTTTTAGCAGCAGAAGACAATCTCTCTTTGCCAGTGTTTTTCATGGACGTTCTCAGAAGTGGCATTCAGTTGTGTGCAGCACTAGGTTATTTTCCACACTACAGTTCAGTCTCTCTTAGACCAGTTTTCTGAAGTTGTATATCCTGGGCCCTTTTTCTTGAGGCAAAGTGATTGAATCACAGGCATCTTGTTTATTGTCACTACTTCTTATGAGGATGCAAAATATATTGGCTTCTTTGCTGTCAATCCCCTTTCCTACCCACAGAGTTGGGTTTTAGTCTTCCTCTTAGGGTTGCTTTACACAAAGGAAACATTCCACACCTTATAAACCCCGGACCTACTACCAAGCATCATGTATCTTAAAAGTGAGATCAAATACTTGAAATTAATCTTACACAATTAGGGTTTTATTTTTAGAATCTGTGAACATTTATAACGTATGAAGATAATTAAACAAATGTTTCTATTTTGCAAAGATTTTTATATTTGTGCATACTTTAAGTTGTATGAATTTTTGCTAAGGGTAGTGCTAGTGACGTTCCAGACAGAAGAATACAAATACAAATGCAGTTGAGTCATTTCTTATGACAGAACGTTAATTTATGAAGTAGCATAAGTAGTACACCTAAGCACAATGTTGTTCTACAGACAGCTTTCTGTAGGAGGTGGGTAAGAGTTCCTTTGCAGGGACTGCACCTTCATTCAGGTACTCTGTGCATGAGGAGCGCTGCTGGTAGAGCTGTGCGTGGATCACACGCTGATCACACACAACATTTTGAGGTATTTCAGCAGCTCAGATTCTTTACAGGTTTAGGCTTATGAGCAAGAGTAAAAGGAACAATTCCTGATGAGTTTTTAACCTTTCATATTTTGATTCACCTTAATTTACCTATGGAGGTTTATTAACCATGCTCAAATTCTTACAGCGTTGGAGGGGGTGAGTAATTTGCAATTTGTTTCTTCCCACTGTCACTTTGTTGCTCAAAATCATTTTCTAAAGGGAGAAACAAACTTGGTTTTAAAAGAAAACTAAACCAACAAAAGCAAAGCAAGCCCCTGGGATCCTTTTGAGGGCTGAAGCTGCATTGTATACGTGCGCCTTAGGTTGCTGCCATAGACATTGACAACCAGCGAATCTCAGTGCCTGCCCTGTCAGACAGTGTGGGGTAAGAAAGGAAAGATGTGTCACATTTCAGTAGGGATAGGATTGGAGCCGACAGGAGTTGTCAGCTTCTCTCCTGTGGGGCAGAAGGGCAGGGGACCAGGGAGGTTCCCGGTGCAGGTGGCATCCTGCAGAGAGCAGTGGGACGGGCAGGCTGAGGGCAGGGGCTCTATTTCCCCTCTTCATGGAGGTGAGGGCACAGCAGTAGAGATAGCAAAGCGAAGGCTTTCTTCCTCTGTGAAGTCTCTGTTTGTCCTCAGCTGGACAATGGGAGGAAGTGTGGGCTCTGAAGGTCACTGCGGGGCTCCTGGCCCTGGGCGAGGGCCTGTCCTTTGGGCACTCCTTGAAAACACACTGTGGGTCTGTCAGAGCAGGCCCCGTGCTTCTCAGCCTCACACCCACCTCCACTGCTCAGCGTAGTGCTGCTCCAACACTGACATCTTGAAGTTCTCCTTGCGATTGCCTTAGAGGCTCTGCAGGCCTAACTTAGTGGGGACGGGTCAGAGCCTTCATTGCACAGAGTAGGAGCTAAGTCAGAGTAGCAAGTCCTGCGAAGCACTTTAACGAGTCAGATATCCGTGCACTCTTTTCTGAGAGAGCCAAGCCAGCCAAACCCCATTCCTAATTGGGAAGAAAACAGAGCTTTGTGTACCAGGCCAGAAGCAGATAATGCCACAGTATGTGCTTTATGGCAAAATGTGTTTTTATTGCAGGTAATATTTACAGCTTACATGTAGCTGCTGCCTATCAAGTGACACAATTGTTCTCTGGATTTTAACGAGTCACATTTTTGTGCAAAACTTGGTGGTTTTCTATCAATCTCCATCGCCTTGTGTACAGTACAGTAAGCGTAGTCCACAAAGTGGTCTAGGTTGTGGCAGTGTTAAAAACGTCAGCACAGTAAAACCTAGGTGAACATTGTTAAAGAATAATGTTGTTAGTGATATCGGGGGTTAAAACTCCTTAAAGGCAACTATATTATAGATTTTAACAGTCTGAAAAAAAAGGCAATTCTTATCTATTTTGTGTATGTTTTCATATAGAGAGTTTTTTATGTGCCGATAACCATCACTGTAGTGTTTTGTAAATGGGTGTTAATGGTGTTCCAGAGTTGTGTATGTGAGCATTCCCTTTAGCCTGGCTGAGCTGTCAGTGTGACCCAGCGGCATGTTTCAGACCTCTCCGCGCCTCTCCTCGAGGCTCAGTCAGCTTCACTACAGCACACGGGGAGCTGGACCAGAACCCGGCCTCGGGAACCTACAGTTCACCTCAAGCCCCATTTCTTCACATTTTTCCTACACGGTGTGTTACAGCTGAATGACTTGGTTGTGTAATTATAAAGCTTCAAGTGTGCTTCAGTTGCACTCTGATCTTTCAAAATTCAGTTTGACATTTCATTGTATTTGCACAAGTAAGGGGAGCGCTGATCAATTATGAATAATGTCCCTGTGTTTCTAAAGGAAACATCCGTTCAGGAAGTGTTAAAATAAAGGCAAATTTCTCTCGCTGCCTTAAACATTACACAGACTTTGGAGAGGACTGAATGTAGGACTGTCGTCGTGACTTCTGCAGGAGAAACTTCAGCTGGTGGGCTGGGTGCTGGGGGAAAGCCCAAGGGTTCCATGGTGCTGGGCTGCCCCCGCCCTGCCTTGTGCGCGCCCGCTGTCTGAGCGCTGTTGGGCATCTGAGTGGTGCCCATGAAAGTGATGGGATGATTGTTCTCGACGTTCTTCATGTGCTCCAGTGTCCTGCTGGTCCGGGGCATAGCGGGAATTGGCACAAGTCTTGTGTCTGCCTTTCATCTGGAATCTCACAACCCTACAAAAGCATCGCCCGGGTCTTTCTGCCACGAATTCTCTTTAGGGTATTTGAGACTTTATTGGAGACCAAATTGCTAGGAATAAATGCTTTTGCGTTCCATAATAACATGCATTTGGTGCCATCAGGATGCATGGTATGGTATTTGGTACAAAACAGGTTTGGGCAAAACTCATTTTTGGGTCGTCCAAGTTATTTTGTTATCCGAACAATGTCGAACATGTGCCATTTCCTTTTGCAGCCAGTCAAGCCTATAATGTATGAAAGTGTTGTACATTTTCTGAAACTTCAGTGATGTATAATTATTTAATTGACTTCTGTTCTGATTGCTTTAATGACGTTTGGTCTTTACATAAAAGTAAATATCTTCAAAGAATTGTCAGTGCCAGAAGTGTAAATGAACAAAATAAAAGGTGATACTTAATTACAGAATGTTCCTCAAGGTTTTATTTGTTTGGATACTCATAGAACAGGAAAATGGCATTGCCCAGCAAAACGAACTAAAACAGTCTGTGTGCTTACCTGAAATAAGAGAAGAATAATAATTCGGGATAGGATTGATGTGATCTTAAATAGACTGTTTTAAGCCAGAGTGCGACAGTGGCATACTGGGACAGAGCTGTTAAGGACTGTAATTAATTACAGTTCGCATTGAGGGGCGGACAACTCATGTCAAGGTGATGTGCAACCAGGGACAGCTCCTCAGAGGACCACAATGCTCCCTGCCTCCTGAGCAAAGCTGGCTTTGGGGACACTCCAGCCCAAGCGGGAGCGGTCCTGCTCCTCCCTGCTATGTCACACACTGTGGGTCCCCTTCTGAGGTTCAGCTTCGCTCCGACCAAGCTATGGCCCTTTGGCCTGGGGTCTGGGGGCTCCCAGCAGTGCTGCTGAGGGGATGCTGGCATTGGGATCCTGCTCAGCAAAGCGCTGGGTCTGCAGGATGGGCAAACTGATCTCATGGTTTCCATGCTGACAGGTGATATATTTAGGTTTCTGGCTGATAGTGCTTGTAAAGGTGATGAATGGCTGCCGTTCAGATTACTTGTCACCAAAACCACACAGCGGCTTTTGGAGTAATGAAAAGCTGGTGGCCCTGCTGTCAAACACTCCATTTTCTGGATTTCTCCCATTCCCTCTATTGCAACTGCTCTCACAAAACAATTACCCATAGATATGTTGCAGCTGAAAGGAGCCTAGACTGAGCTGTGGGCAGCAGCACTTCCTCCCTGATCTGTGTGAGCTGTTCCAAGCCTGGACATCACATCTGGGTGCTGCCACATCCACACCAGAGCCACACCACAAAGATGCTGCCACACTGAGGGCTTGTGCTGGGGCTGCTGTCACCAAAGCTCCCGTGCAGGTTGGCACTGGGCTTCTCACAGCACCACTGAAACCCAGCAGGGCCAGCCGATAGAGGAACAGCATCAAAGGCAGTAGTGCTGTGTTTATTGCCAGCAGTGCCCATTCTGTGCAGTAACCAAGTTTTCTTGTAATCTCCTTTTGATAAATAGTTTGAATGGGCTAAATCTCCCAGTACGAGGTGTTTTTCATCTAGATTTCAGGTTTTCATAGGCATGTTCTTCTCTCTCTCTCCCCCTCTCTCTTTTGACATTTCTTGGGCACTGCAGTGTTTGTTCAGTGCTTAATCTCCCAAGGCAACATACACAGAGATGTACATGGTACAGTTGGTGCATTTTGCCAAAATGGACACCACCACTGACTCAATTGCAGCATGTTTCAGTGCTGCCACTCACCTGGCACTGTAGCAGCTGCAGAAGGAGATGTTTGGTGGCAGCCCCATAACGAGTCATCCTGCACAGAGGAGAGGGCATCTCCAACCCCAGTGGGCCTGCAGTGGATGGCCTCAGCCTTGTTGGGGAGTGATGCTCTGGAGGAAGCCCTGCTGCTAAATTGGTACTTGGTTTCATCTTTTCACAGTGTGATGACATCAACTCATCTGACTACTGCCAATGAGCTCCCATTTCCAGCTCAGGAGCTCCAAAAATGTGCCCACTTGCAGGGAGCACTGCTTCTTCGGAGGTCAAATCTCCCCACAGACCTCCTGCTTTGGGAGAATTACTCCACTCCAGGGAACAGAGTACATTTCTGCAGTGTGATGTATTGCCTTGTCATCCCAACAGCCACAGCTCTGGGTCCTGCATCCAAGCCAACCCCCATGTGCTGAGTGGGGCACTGCTGCCATTAATCACAGCCCTCTCACTGCAAGCGTATACAACACAGCTGGCCTGGCAATGTGTAATTCTCATACATTGGCTCTCTTGCAGTTTCCTGCCTTACCTTCACTGATGTCTTCTGTACTGAGCTTTCTGTGGGCTGCTATCCCCTGGCTGTCCCATCCCAAGAACGGCTGCACGCCATGCAGGGACTGTCAAGGCATAGGGTGGGAATTGGCAGCAGAGTAGGAAGGTGGGAGGGAGGGAGGTTTGTTTTTGGCTCATCGAGATGTGGGATCTCACCAGAGCTCAGTATCACTGCCTTGAGGGGGTGGCTGTGACATGAGTAGGTGACAGTCACCTCCAACCTGTCAGAAGCCACTGATGAAAAGAGGCTGAGGAACGGCAGCAGAAATGTCATTGGATTTGCTGGGGATAGACAAGGATTTGGATGCAGAGCACCAATACTTTTTCCAGGAAACCTCATCCTTCCTTAATCAGCTCTCTGCTAAAACCCTTAAAAAGGCAATTCACAAACAGTTCCCACCTGAGAAATAATTACTTGTATGGAAACTTAAGCTTCTCATTTCACACAATGATAATCCTTTACGAAAATGGAATAAGGATTTCCATGCAGTACACAGAGGCTGTTGGCACAGTAACGCCTGGCTCCAAGCTGCCTGAGGAAACCTCACCTGGTTCCTTACCCTGCAGGTTACTGCAATTAGAGCTGATCTAATAGGGAAAGCAGGGTACCAATGTACATCAAGATTGCTTCAGACTGAAGCGTGGGGTCACATTTTCCGTCTGTTTGTGCACCTATTTTTGTTTAGAAATGTTCAAAGGCCAACACTGTCTTTTGGTTAATTACAGGTACACTTCTGTCCTCTTCTCCAGCACAATTTTGTTTATAATCTGCTCTCTCTGAGCATAGCTAAGCAATGTTACCCTCATGGGCCCCCCAGAGGCTCAGCTCACTTCCGGAGAGGTGACTTAATGAAAAAGGGTCATCTCTGCCCATGTCCCTGCCTCACAGAAAGCTGTGGAGTGCATGGTGGGGTGGGGATCGTTACTGCAGTAACAAATACTGGAGAATAAATAGCGGCAGCTGCTGAGGCATGGGCTGAAGCAGTCAGGACTGGAGGCTGCCAGCAGGCTCCTGTTCAACCACATTCAGTGCTTCCCCAGAGTCACAAAAAGTTGGAGGTGAAAGAAGGCCCCTGAGCACAGGGGGAGGCATGCTGCAATGAAGAGGAGGCATCATTCTTTTCTAGCACAGTGATAGTCACATAAATACTTCTAAATACTTCTCCAGTGGCTGATAGGAATACGCTGCCTCCTTTACACTGCTGCCAGCCCATGTACCTCTGCACAGACTGCTTCATTCCTGCGGCTGGGTTGCAGTCACAGGTGAAATCGTAAGGTAACTGGATTCTGTAAGCTCTCATCTCCCTGCTCAGGAATACAGTGGCCCACTTTGATTGACACACTCTGAGCGGTGAATTATCCTATCAGAGAGATGTGTGCAGCTCTTGCAGACAGCCGATCTGTGTGCCTGCCTCTCAGCTGCGTAATTTCTATCCTTACTGGAACCCAGGCTGAAAACTGAAAGCCTCTCGGTAGCAGCTTTAGTGCAGTGGGGAAAATATGCTACAGCCAGTGAAAGGCTCTATGTTGTAGGAGATGTGAGACTCACTGCAGAGGTGTTACTTCATTTGAAACACCCACACTGATCTGTGTGGCACCACCAGTCCCCTGGCAGCCAAAAGGGCAACCAAACCCTGGGGTGCACCAGGCCCAGCAGGTGAGGGAAGGGCTTGTCCCTGCTAGAGAGAGCATCCACAGGAGGTGTGTGTAAAGATGGGGAAGGCTCTGGAGGACAGGGTGTGTGAGGAGCGGCTGAGGTCCCTGTGTTTGCTCAGCACAGAGCAGAGGAGCTGAGGGGAGGCCTGATGGCGGCTGCAGCTCCTCACAGGGAGCGGAGGGCAGCGCTGAGCTCTGCTCTGTGTGACAGCGACAGGGCCCGAGGGAACGGCATGGAGCTGCGTCAGGGGAGGGGCGGGAGAAGGGCTTAGGGAAAGGGTCTGCACCACAGGGCGGTGGGCATGGAACCGGGTTACTGAAGTTCAGGGAGCATTTGGGCACTGCTTCCAGTCATAGAGTTATGTTCTGGCTGGTGCTGTGTGGAGTCAGGAGCTGGACTCTGTGATCCTCGTGGTCCCTTTTACTGGGGGTATTCTGTGATTCACAGCCTGCAGGCTGGAAGGCTGAGCAAGGGGAGCACAGGCAAGTCCATGGAGCTGGGCTGAGAGGAGCAGAGCAGCTGGCTGTGGCAGTGCTTGCCGTAGAAATGCCCTGCCTCGAGCCAGCAGGGGCTGGTGTGGCAGTTTCATAATGCTGAGTGATCAACTGTGACTTACAGAGCACTGAGAACTGCTGAGCCTTCGGGAAACCACAAGGATTATTCAGATAAATTATCCCCCCTGCAAAGAACATGATCACAGCAGTTTCAGCTAAGAAATGACATGGCAGCTTGCTTTGACAATAAATTGAGGCAAGCTAAAAGAGAAAATCTGCTTATGTCGAGCCTTAAGATGTGGGAGGTGAGTTGGGTAAATGATAGTTACACAGTGCTGCAGTTTGGCTGTTCAAATCCCTTCCTGTGTCAATTTATTTACATAAGGGAAAATGCTATTTTCTTCAAGGTGAAGGGAAGCCCACTGAGAGGTGCTGTTTTTAAAATGGCACAGCCATAAACATGCAAACTGTTGACCAATTTAAAAACCTCTTCTAGTTTTAAATGCAGGTGCCGGCAGAAAATGCAGAAAATTCAGGAGCCACTGGTTTGGTGATGAGAACAAAGAGTGGCAAAGGGGCTCTTCAGTGCTGCGTGGCACGCACCCCTACAACCACACAGCCTTTATTACAGAATGGAGAACCAAAAGAAGCTGACCTCATGGAAATAAGGGCAGTGAATCTGCTGACAACGGCTCCAAGGGAACAAGTGCAACACACCGACCTCATACCAGCACGGCTCCTGCGCTGCGTGACACAGCTTTGCACGTGTGTGTGAAGATGTGTGGATACATAAGTGGATGGCGGCAGCATCACAGTGAGCCATCTTTGCTGGGAATCTTTTTAAAGGGAAAGAACATAACTCAGAGAGAATATTATCAGAAACATTGCTTTGTTGTTATTTGCAGCCTTACAGAAATACTGCAATGAGGAGGAATAATTTCATACTTTCAACCCACAGGCAAAATACAGAAACACATACAATATTTGTCAGTGTTAACGGTCAGAGAACGAATCCATAGATGTGCTGTGAGAAGAAGCTTAAGCCTTTCTGCTGACGTTTTTGTTTGGTTTTGGCGGGATTTTTTTTTGTTAAAAATGAATAAATTAGTTCTTTTAAAATTGCATTTGACTTTATGTGTGCTGCTGTGCACTTCCTGCTTCATTTTCATATTTCCATTTTGATATTTAGTGCAAACCAAAGACTGCTTTGCCTCTTCAAATGGGTGAGAATTTGACAACAGTTTTGAACTAAGTCACATCAGACGTGCGTTGAAGTGAAATGGAACCTTTCCTCTCCTTTCCAGAGAAGCAAAGTCACCTTCGAGCTCCAGAACCGTACAAGTGGGAAAGCAAATCTAGTTCCTAAAGTTTATGTTTATTAAACTATTGTAAAATTGATCCTATGTTATCAGTTTGAGATCTACAGAAAGTCAGAGATGGCAGTTGATAGACAGAGATCCATAGTTTATAAGTGAGCAGACTACAAACGATATTTTTTCAAGCCAGGTTAGAAAAATCAAAATACACCTGTTAAATGAAACCTACTGGGAACAGGACAAAATTTGGAAGCATTCTTTCTGTTTCTTTCCATGCCATATCAGCTGGTCACTGCTTTTCTCTCCCCTTCATTGTATCAATGTAGTCCAGAATGTCTAGCGTTGTTCTGTCAGCCAAAGCGAGATACTCGGCTTCAGAGGGGAGCGCTGCCGTCCTCGCTGAGCTGCCTGAGGGCGGCAGTGCCTCATGCTCAGGCGACTTGTGCCCTCCAGCGGTGCCGGGAGGATGCAGCCCCTGCGGGCTACGGGCAGAGGGCAGGGAGCGCCCACAGCTGCACACCCGCATGGGGTCACACTGGGTGGCCGCATCCGCTTTCCCTGCTTGTGGGCCAGAGCTCTCGGTCTGCACCCAAACATCGCACCTTGCACTCTGCATGACTTGTGCTTTCTTATGGGCTTGGGGCAACAAGCTGCCCTCACATGGAGCAGCACGCTCTTTCTTTTCCTCTCTGCTGTGCGATATGGAGAGTTTCTGCTGAAGATGGCCGTCTCCTTCCATAGCCAGACTGCTGCCGGGCTGGGGAGGCACAGCTCCATTATGAGAAGCCCTGAAGGACTCTGTGCTTTCAGAGGCTGAGATGAGGTTGACATTGTCTGTCTGGAGGTGCTGCTTGTCCACATATTTCTTCCTTCTGGCTGCATCTTCCTCTTCAGACTGTATGAACAGTGTGAACTGTGTGAATGCAACTGTTTTAACAATTCAGTGTCTATCTACAAAGTTAATAATTGATGCATAGATAAATTATGAAATCAATTGAAAGGCCAGAATTTTCTGCTGGCCTTTTGTGTTCTTTCTTGAAGGATGTGGATCTTTGCTCTCATGCATTTATATTCCTATGTTTTGGCCTTTGTATGGGTGTGTGTGTCTTCAGTAATGGCTGAGAATGTACAGAGCGCCAAATCTTCCTCTCTTCATGTCAAGGAAGAGCAGAAACTTCCTTAACATCTTCCCATAACATGACATGTTATTGTAATTCCACAAGGCTCAGCGTTATCAAGAGACCAGACCACAGGTCTGTTGAATTAGGAAAATGTACATCTAATCACCTATTGTAAACCCATTCAGGGCACTACTCACCACGTCAGGACTGGAGCTGAGGCAGCTTTCTGTCTGTCTTGGAGAGTAACTGGGAGATGGGCTGCTGAGTGGTGACTCCACATCTGAAAAATGAGCTCCAGCAGAAGGAAAATTACTCACTAAATATTTCCCAAGCATCCAGCTCCCAATTACAGCATGCAAAATTTAGAGTGATCACTATTTCTGAAGCAGTTTTAAGATATCATTTAAAGAACAAAGTGTTAGCAAAGTCAAATTGGATTATGGTAATACCCAATTCTCCTCCTCTCAAGACAAAATATCATGGCCAAATGTGTGAGATGGGTGTCCCAAAGCTCCAGCTATGCTGTCAGCCTGCACTAGCAGCAGAGCTGTGCTACCCAAGAGGTTCTGCAGAATAGAGGTAGGGAGAGAATGTGGCAAAATCCCTGCACGCACTGGCTGCCATACAAATTATACGGGCTTTAGGCTGTGTTTTGTCTTGGAGGCCCCTGGGACATCTGTTCTGAGCTGCAGCTGGAACAGCTGACCCATACAGCTACATACTGTTACAAGATGCCAGTGTTCATAAACTTGAGTCACGGTGTTCAGATGAACAAACACCTGATTTCACTGGTGAATTATTATTTGTTTTCGTTTGTTTGTTTGTTTGTTTGTTTGCAGCTCCCCCTACTTTCAGAGCTGGCTTAGCAGTTTAAGAGACCCAAATGAAAAACATGTGGATAATACTCACCAGAAATAAGTTAATCTGAATTTATCTCTTCAAGGGAAAGTGAATACTTAGTTACCTGGTAATGCTAGTGAATAAAAATAGAAGCACTCATAAAATGTAACATCCTAAAAAGATGAACATGCTTTTCCCTGGATTTAAAAGTAAGTTTCATTTTCGTAAGCAGAGAAAAATCTGATTTGTAACTAATCGTATCCAAATGATACTAACCCTGCTCCATCCTGTGAAGGTTTGAACTCACTCCAGAGTTGTACTCTTTCCGTTGCGCTTTTGCAAACTTTCAAAAACAAGCATTAATAGTGAGTGAGCTGGATCAGTGCCTCGGGTTAATTAAGTGAAGAACATTCAGTTTCTCTATTACATGAAGGAGTACACCTTGCAGTTCATTGCAAACTATGTTAAGGAATACAAAACCCCTGAGCAGTACTGTGTGAACCTGGGTGACTACTATGGGCAAAACATCTACAGAAGATTTTATAGATATATTGGCAGAAAACTTCATTACAATACTGAAATATCCTACATACAGTCTTTGGACACTGCCTCAGAATCATAACGTGGGGTAAAGAGTGCCTTATAAAATGTATTTCAGGCAAATAGTTCGGATGTGAATCAGACTATTATGGACCTGAAAAGACTGTTAGCTGAACCACTTAACTAGAAATTGTTCTTTCTGGACTTTCCATATAAAGCAACAAAGGAAAGTAGATTTCACAGAAGTTAATTCAGATAAAGTAGTTTAAATTTCTAACTGTTTTGGATACTTCTTTTCTACTCTAAATGAATGATGTAAACACTCTGGTAGTAGGTAATGCAAAAAAAAATGTTTATAAAAAGTTACCTCTTCTAATTCAAAAGGCTGGTTCTGTTTCCAGACCGATTCTTTCACAGGTTTATCTCTATGGGATGCAAACAGAGCTCTCTGGTAAGTGATTTCTCCCATGCTTTTGTTTGCTTTCTAAATTACTTCTGACTTTTTTTTTTTTTTTTTTTTCCAGTAGTCAGGAAATGTTTTCCCCTATTGAAATATTGGAATTTATTTCTGAACCTGAGATTTAGCAACATGAATCTCTAAGTTTTTTGTTTGTTTGTTTGTTTGTTTGTGTGTTTGTAGAATGTAGTATGAGGTTACTGTGGATACGTGACAAAAATACCTTAATGTAAAACGTGGGGCACTCACACATGCCACATTTGGTGCAAGGAAGACACTGATTTTCTCTGTAGGCAGTGGAAGTGGACAGGGTGTTCTTCTAGAGGTCAGATCAGAGCAACAGCTTATCTGCAGAGACTCAGAACTGTCCTATCAAAGAATCTTCCTACTTAGTTATTACAAGTAGGTGTACAGTGGTACAACAAATAGCTTACATATACCTAAGTTTATTCACAGTAGTCATCATTATTTTCACTGGGATAACTTGGGTCTTCATTAACACTGTTTAGAATTTTTGCCACCTTGTCCTCTTAGACAGGATTTCTCCAGTTCAGAAAGGTCTCTGCAGTTATCACTAATTAATAGATTGACAATTTTTGTTGCACTCACCTTTTATTTCTTGAATGGTTCTGCATGTTCTCCTTTAAATTAATCTGCTGATCATGATAATAAGCATATGTTTCTAAAATCAAAAAGTAAACCTCAATTTAAAAGTGCAAGAGCATGAATATAGTTTGAAAATAACTCCTTCTATCAACTTGTAAAAGTAATTTTACTAACTGGATTTAAAATTGAATTGCTGCAATCCAAAGATTGATAACATGTTTTGAGTCAGGGCAAACACACATCTGTTTATATATAAAAAAAAAAAAAAGTAGCATGAGATGACTGAAAGAAGAATAAAACACAGAATATACATCTCTAACTTGTTGACACTCACCACTTTTTTCAGATGTTGAAGGTTTCTGTTCGTTTCCAGGCAATGTTAAGTAGAGCTGAACATCATGACAGTCCTGAAGGTGGGTTTTATGAAAGCTGTTTTTCTTGTAGTTTGCAAATGGTGCATTGTTATTTTTACATAAAACCTGTTCTGGAGCTGTGAAAAGCCCTTTACGGTGTCTGTCTACAGAATTTTTTCTTGCATTAATTGCAGGATGAGCCTCTCCACTATTGTATGTATAATTTCTGTTGGTCATTTGATTTCTATCACTGGGATCAATGAGAAAAACAGGAGCAGTGTTTTGGTTAACAAAAGGATTACAATCCTTTGTGGAAGCTTTATTATAGGTTGGTTGGCTCTCATCTCCAAACAGGGACAGAAAGGGACAATCAGTTTCATCTTGAGGAACTCTCAGGTCTGCAGTTTCTTTCATGACACCAAACAATAGTTCTTTTATTCCTTCAGTGTTTTCTGATTCTTTACTGGCCATTATCATTGGATCTTTCCTGGCAGAACTCATATAATCTAGCCTTTGGAGGAAGGGGAGAAAAAAATGCAACTTGCTTTGTACACAAATAAGCAAAATACTAACTGCTAACTCTATAGATTATCAAATTGATACAAAATTTCAAAGACTTCACTGCTCAACACACGTGCTTCTGTTCTGAATGCAAGTTATTTCCACAGAATGAGGGTCCTGTGTTTTATTTACACATGTAGTAAGGCTGATTTAAGCAGGACTCTTTCACGATGTTTCCAAACACACTGAGACACGCAGCATGTCATCTCATTCAGTAGGGAACTGTGATTTATAAAACCAACCACAGTATGTCACTGCTGCTCCACTCAAATGACCAAACACTTTGGATTAAAAGAGGATGGCAGCTTCTTCGATCTGTAAAAAGGTATTGAACAGTTCACTCTTGTACTGAAAACCCACAGTAAGATCTATGCATGGTTTCATTCCTGGTCTCTTTAGCAGTGACTTCTTGTGTAGCATTGGTCAGTAACCCTATTCAAGCACAGAATTTTTCTTATCTAGAGTTAGAAGACCAGTTAGACATTTTGTTTTGCCTTTACTTTCCTCCCCTTCTTCTCATAATAGTGCTTTTGAAGATGCTATCATGCTTATCATTAACATGAAAGCTATCATGCACTCACTTACTTGGATCTTACTCTAACTTTTTTTACCACTTCTTTCTAAGTTTGATCTTTTGTCTGACCTTTCCAAAGATCTGAGCAGAGAGTTACGAGTTTTCTGGGACACAGAGAATACAAAACATGCCTTTTATTTTAAAATAAATAAATTAATTAAAAGAGCAGTGCTATCAATGGAACTTGAAAATGGAAATGTAGTAGAGTAAAAACTTACTGAAGAAAAATTCTGTAATGTCTTGACCAGAAAACACTTGGAATTGGAAAAAGATCCTAGAGAACTTAAGGGAGAAAGTTGTGCCCTCTACTTATGTAAAACCCATGCCTTAGTTTTAAAAGACTGATCACACTGGAGTTTGTTTTGGGAGAATCCTGAATGCATTCAAGTGAGGAAGGTAAAAACACTTCGTGGTGCAATACAGAGGCTCCTTCTCCATTCTAGCTGAACATTTTGTAATGCTATGTAAAAGGTGATTGTAGGTGAGGAAGTGGACAAGTATGACACAGAGTGAAAAAAAGAGAATATCTACATTTTTAGTCAATATTTAATGACCATGAAGGGTCACAGGTCTCAGATCAGTGCACAGTTATTACATCATTACATTTTCATTAAACGATTGTATAAGTTCATACTTCTCATATACTTCAAAACAAAATCCCTTTCTAGGAGAACTGACAGTTATTCAGATAAAAGAATTAATGAATGTAATGGATGAAAACAAAACATGGACAAAACACAAAAATGGATCAGACAAATTGTTGGAAAAGGAGATGGAATGTTGTCAGTGAGTCATGAATGGGCAGAGGACTGTGGGAGGTGCCATAAGCAGAGTGCAGGCCTGAAAGTCTGTGGAGAAATTAAAAGGGAGATTTAGGCAATGTAAGGTTACATAGGGCTTTAACATCAAGATACTCATCAGGAAGTTATGGAGATACATGGCAAGGTGAACGTTATCCTGATTTTGGGCTTTGCTGGAGAAACCAGGAAATCCATGAGGAGAGAGAATGTTCAGATGGCTAAGAGTGGAAACTCATATGTCCATCTTTTATCATGTCATCAGTGAGCTAATCAGTGCCTTTGTGCCCCAGGCAAACAAGCTGCTGGCACTTTGGGAACTGCCAAGTAATAGATGACCTTTTTATGGCTCTACCTCATCCACATCTAGAGATTGATGCAATCTTGAGCAGATTTAGAGAATAAAAAGAAAAATGAAAAATAAGACCCCTAGGTAGAAGGTAAGAACTCCTGGAAAAAAACAGTACAAATTTGTCTGGCCTTAAACCCTCCTTGATTGAAAAGACTCATAATGAGCATATGCAAAGAGAAATCAATGCAAAACTTCTGTCCATTCTCTTATGTTCTGTCCACACCTTTATGTTCTCAGAAAAGTATTTTTAATCAGTTATAAAATAATGATAATTTTAAAAAAGCTACAGCAGAATTGCATATGAAATAGGAGAGTAAATAATTTTTCCCTGGAATCCTCAATGTAAGTAATGTAAGTGAAGTTGCTCAAGTGCTGAGGCATCGGGGTCATCACTTGTTACAATGAACAGAACTAATGAGAATGCCAGCAACTCCCCTTCTCTTGGCCCATCCCCTTGGTAAATCCATGCTTCTGGATGAATTACAAAACACCATCCTGTTTACAACACCACAAAAATAGACCATGGTTCCAAAAACCTACCAAAATCACATTTAACTGTCTTTCAGCAAATTTTAATAGCTTTGCTTGTTCAGTCTTTCTATTTGATATCAATTCCTATCCAAGAGCACTAAAGATCAGTGAAAAATCACATGGAAATAAATTTCAGATGATTTTAGTATTACTCTAACTTAATGGTAACTATTTCTCTAATGTAAAATCAAGAAGGCAGTCTACCTGTGCAATGGGTTAAGTAGTTCCTGAGGCTCTGTCTCAGACTTCCTGAAAATACACTGGCTTGAGTGATTTGAAATCCAAGGTTCTTGCTCAGAAATAGTTCTTGACTGAGAAAATGGTCCAAGTTATAAAACTCTGAATCTATAGTTGCAGTGTTTTAAAATTCAAAATTGGGTTTGCAAACAATATACACATTTTCCATCTTAGTTTCTTTTACTTATTTTTCACTTAATTTTATCTTTCCAGAAAAGGCCAAGACATTACCACCCAAGTGAGTTTTGTACAATTCATACTTCTTTATATTTGCATGTCACTGCTAGTATGCGAAACATCTTTTTAAGTATCCCATGCCCCCATAATATCGGCAAGCTGGATAGACTGTAGAAAGCTGATGCTTTACGAAGAAGACAAAACTGTAGACTGCTATTGCATGGAAAGGCTGTGAGAGGTACCTAACCTGTCCTCCTGCTCAAAGCAAGGCCAGCTTCAGGGCTAGTCCAGATTGCTCAGGTTTGTTCAGGATTGAGATGCCCTATTTTGGTGCTTAGCTACTTTTGTGACAACTTTTTCTAGGCAAGCAGAATTTCCAGTGTTTAAAGTTGTGATTTTTACTACGTGTCATTACACGGGGAATCTCTGACTCTGTCCTGTCTGGATTCAGGAAGACAGCAGTTAGTTCCCCTCCTCATTCTCTTCAAATCTTCTCTTATCCATGCTATGCAAACCCTCTTCATTCAGTCTCCATGTTCATCAGGAGCTCCAATCCCCTTGACATTTTTGTTGCCCTCCATTAGTCTTCCTCCAGTTTGTTGATCTCTCTCGTGGACTGGGGGGGACTCAAAGTGGGCACAGTGTTTCAGATGTGTTCTAACACGTGTTTTTTGTTTGTTTGTTTGTTTTTGTTTTTCAGGGGAATAATCACTTGCTTTTGAGTGCTGGATAAGCTCTTTATAACACAGCCCTGTATTTAGCTGGCCTTTTCTGCAACATGGATGCACTGCTGACTCATGAACAACTAGTTACCCTCTGGCACCTTCAGGTCCTTCCCTGCAAAGCTGCTGCCTACTCAGTCAAATCCCCACCCGCACAGATACATGGGGTTATTTCTTCTGAGGTGCAAGACATGAGTTTCTCTGTGTTGAACTTTATGAGGTTTCTGTAAGCCTTCAGATTCACAAAATCCCTTTGAATAGCAGCCCTGCTAAATGTAATGATCTCTCTGACAATTTCTGGTTTCATTTATGAACCTGTTGTGATGTTATGGGCGCAATGTATCTTGCTGTCCAAATCATGTATCTGATAAGATGTATCAGACTTGTTACTAAACCCTGGGCATTCCTGCCATTATTGACCAGTTGCCAATTAGACTTTAACCCAAGGACTTTCAGCAAAATGGTAAAGCTGATTTTTTTTACCCAATTTGTCACCCACTCATCTGGTTCATACCACCCCTCTTTGGCTACTAGGATACCACAGTAAACCTTGTCAAATGCCTTCCTAAGGTCATAGTAAATAATATCCACTGCTGTTCCTTATCCACAGGGCAAGTCATTCCATCACAGAATTAGGCTTGTCAGGCATAGCATAGCATGGTCATGGTAAACCTATGCTGACTTCTCTCAAACACCTTCTTCACAGAACTTTAAACAGCATCCAGGAGGTCAGGTGCCATAATCTTTTCAGGGACAGAGGTGAGGCTGATAAACTAATACTTTCCTGTTTTTTGCATACACATAACATTTGTTTATTTCTTGTCACTGAGAAGCTGTCCTCACCACTGTAGTCTGTCTGCAGATATCAACAGTACTGAAAGCTCAGTGAACAAAGGCTCAAATTAAATCTATTCCAGACCAGTAAAATAAATACATATGTATTTATGGAATATCCATTGCCACCAGCCTAGAAGTTTTTCTTGTTAATCATTATCTTCACCATAATGCTAGTTCTATGCCTCAAATAGAGAAAGTAATAAAATATTAATCAAACCTGTTTCTGTAGCTTATCTTCATAAGTCTGTTCCCAAGGGTCACCCATTAGTTTTGTATTGAAATTTTCTTCTGAAAACTGTGCACAGTTAGAGGACCAAAAAATAGAAGGGGACAGTGGACAGGTGCTAAAAGTTGTTGCTGTGTTGTCTTCATGTTCCGTACACTCAGCATAAGTTAGTTCTGTTACTTGTGTTAACTAGATAAGAGATAGCAAAGAGAATTTGATTTATCTAACATTGTTAGCATCTAAGCATAGTTGAAAAGAATCCAATCTTTCTAAATTTTTTACATCTCTTTTCAGATATACTATATTCAAGAAAAAATGTTCATATATTCTGATATGTTGGCCTTAGTCTCTTTCCCATAATCTATCTTTTGTGACTAGTTTAGAGCACAGCTATTTCTAAATGTTTTGGAAAATGCCCAAAACAAGTGGAGCTTTTCGTAATATTCGTAAGAAATAGCAGAAAAAAAAAGTATGGAATATGATTAGCAATTAATACATCAATGTAGTCTTAAAGAAGTCTTTACACATTTAAGTACTCATGAAATCTGATCATTATGAAACATCACTTAAAAAAACATTGCTACATATTTTTAACTTGACATCACTGAGATCAATAAACTTACTTCATGTTGGTATTTTTCTTTTTCTAAGAGATGCTGCCTTCTGCTGTCCAGTACTTGCTCTTGTAACCTTATAAATGAATAAAAACAGCCTCTGCAATGTAAGATCTATAAGATTAAAAACTTCCTAACCAGAGTATTAATTTTAAAATAATTTAACAGTATTTCTCCAGATGTTTAAAAAACCCTTGATTTGTATGCAATTTTGAGCAGCCAGTCTGTAAATCAGTCACTTAAGCATGCCTGAAATTGGATGGCAAACAACATAAGTAGAAAATGCTGTTTGAATACTCTGCTCTGTGAGAGGAACTTAGTGTATGAACAACACGACATGAATAAAGTAACACATCTGTATATTTAAAGCTCTGAACTTTGTGTACAGTTCTGAGTTTAGAGTATGTTTCCTTACTCTGACGATAAGAGTATCCCTGGAATGTCAGAAGCAGTCGTGAAAATACTCTGTCTTAGCAATATATATTTAGGCATACTTAATACCCCAGATAAATATTTATTCAGTCTTTTCAAGGCAAGACACTGATGAGCACAGAGGTAAAAGGGATCTGCTGATCTAAAGATCAAGAGATTGACCAGTTTCAGATTAGTCTTTCTATGCTCCTGTGCTACTGTATTAGCCTAGACCCCTTCTCCCATTTATCTTGTTGCTACCAAAGTACGTGCTTTTATCCGTGTTAATAAATACACACAAAGTAGATCTGTACTGCAATGGTAACTGCTTTTAACTTCTTCAGAAATCACATGAAAATAAATTGTGAAACACCTTTTACAGACTTAACTTGCTTAACTACTGCCTGTTTTAAACAAGTACCTGTTCTTGATGTCATCTAAGTGTGCTGTAAATTGGTTTCGTAGTGGTGACCTGGGAAGCTCTAGATTGTTCCTTCTAAAAGGTGCCTTTACATTTTCAGTTATAGCAACATGGACCGGCTTTTTCAAGTTGCCTGTGGTGAAAATATTTGGAAGGTCAGCACTGGACTTAGAAACTAAGCTTTGAGCTCCCTAATTTTTCATTACAGTACCAAAGACGTTTTGGGTTTCTCAAACCATTTATCCATTTAAAACTTGTTTTGCTTTATTAACAGTAAGGTAAGAGCTCTATTCTAATTGGCACCATAGCACAAAATTGTGGGGCAACTGCTGTCTGTGGACAGCTCTGTTGCCCTAATCAGCCACCTTCGAATCTTTCTGAGCATAGGACAGCAACTATGCCCCAGTCTTGTTTATGAATATGTCACAGAAGATAAGAGTTAGAACTCAAGTTGTAGCGATTTTGAGGGGAGCTTAATGACAGATTATAACAAAAACACTCTGGGTATAACAAACCTTCTATTCCAAATACAAAAAAACAAAGAAAGAAAGAAAGAAAAAGATGTGACTGTACTATAAGTGGAACACAAGTGATCCAATTTAATGGCAAAGGGAAAAAGAAGAGGAGACAGGGTAAAATTAATACATGGAATGAGGGAAATTCATAAGTGCAAGACTGTAAAGCTGAAATAGGTCGTTTGATTTTTCTTATGTCCTTACTTTTTACTCAGTCATTACTGTCCTATTCAATTACTATTTTTTATTTTTTAAATAAATGACTATTTGAGCATTAAGTTACAACACAGTGGAAAAAGAAATAGTAGGAGTGATAATAAAAGATAACTGATTCTGTTAGCAATGAGGTCAGAACACTGTCACCATAAACTCACCAGTGCTGTCTTTTTTGGTCGATATCTGGTTAACAACATATAGATTGAGGAGATCTAAGCTGACTGCTGAACTGTTAGGAGATGATACTCCCAGAAGCTTCATCTTTGATTTAAGTTTTTTCTTTTCAAAGAATTCCTATTTTTTGAAAAGAGAGATTAAAAGAGAGAATAAGTTTCTGGCAGAAGCTTCATATCACTTCAGTGGAATATATAAATATTTTGATGCAATTCTTATAAATAAAAATACGTTTGAATTTTTCCAAATTCACACATTCAGTCTATTATCACATGATTTATTTTTATTATTTTGAAAAATAATTCTAGTATAATTTGGTCATATTTAAGGAAGCTCCATTGCAGCCTTCCAGAACTTAAATGGAGCTTGTGAACTAGAGAAAGACTGACTTTTTACATGATCTGATAATGACAGAACAAGGGGGAATGGTTTTAAATTAGAATGGTGGAGATTTAGATTAGACATTACAAGGTATTTTTTCCTTTTGGAGTGGAGGTGCACTCTTACAGGCTGCCCAGAGAAGCTGTGGATGCTCCATCCCTGAAGGCGTACAAGGCTGGGTTGGATGGGGCTCTGAGCCTTGATGGGGCCTTAATCTGGTGAGTGACAACCCTACCTATGGCAGGGGGTTGGAACTGGATGGGCTTTAAGGTCCGTTCCAACCCAAATTATTCTCTGATTCTCTGATTCTGTGATATTCAAAATAGGTCATTGTTCTCCTGACACCAAAAACTTAGTCCTTATATACTTGTGTCTCAACTTCTGTATGTGATCATTAAAAGCATTTTTCAAAGTAAAAGACATCTCAAAATCCTGCAAAGAAAAGAAGTCTTTAAAAAAAATTAAACCTGTACTTTTTAGGCAGCTTATATAAACCAGCAGGCAAATAAATCAGCAAGATTATTAGTCGTGGCCATCTAAATTGACACAAAGAGCGTTTTGTTCTTCAAACTTCTCTCCCTTGATGCAATAAATAGGGTCTTGTGACCAAAAAAAACCAAAAAACCAAAAAACCAAAAAAACAAAAAAACAAAAAAAAAGAGAGAGAGAGAAAGAGAGACAAAAGGGAAAGAAGACAAACCTCTATGACTGGGACTTTGGAAATGCTGTATGTTACAAGTAACAAAAAGAAATATGACTGTAATTCTAAATATATCAAGCAGATAATTCTGCATAACACTGGGATTCTATTGGTAGACATTTAGTGGAGAAAATCTCTATTTTGTAGGAGTGTTAATAATCATCTCAAAAATCATTAGTAGCAAGCCCAAAAAATAAATAAATTAATGGTACATCTTTACTTTAAACAAAGAAGGATATTGAAAACTTGGATATTGAAGGATATTGAAGGCCCTAAGACAAAAAAATGACAGGCTTTTCTTCTGAACTTTTCCTTCTGTCATCCTGAATTACATGACAGGGGATTTATCTTGTCAATTACATGTGATTAATATACCTAGCATGTTTATTGGTAACCGTTTTCCACCATATTGTATCACAATCTTTCACTTTCCAAGGTGTTACCATCTATAGAAAACATCTGTTGCTTCAGCAAGCAAAATGTAGTACCAGAAGTAATTCAGTAAAACTTCAATTGGGAGCATTCATGTGTTCATTCATGCCTTCTCCTCCTCCCTCTTCTTGTTGCTGGAATTCAGTGTAGCAAAGCTAGAAAAAGACTTCTGTTCTAAAAATTAACTACAGTCAGGCAAACACATACGTGTTATGCTACAGTTCTGTGCCTCACTCCAATTGCTTTGAAAGATTTTTCACAGTGAAACAACACAATCATTTGCATAACATAAAATCCATGGTGGCTACAACCATTTACCTTTTGCTTTCTCCTTTCCTGCTTTAGTATGACTCTGCTCCTGAAAGATGCAAATAATTATTGTTTTAATTATAAAGGTTTTATAATATAATATTATAACCTTGAGTCATGGACTGAGCTTCACGTAACTGTTACTGAGAATTTTGCATGCAAATTCAGCTATAATGGATCAAACCTTGAGGTAGCGAAGTCAACATAACTCTGCTGAAGTCACTTTGGTCCTGGTTTACTTAAGTAAGGCTATATTCCCATTCTATCTCAGGGATATAGAATATATCGAACATTCAGAAGAAAAAAACTTTCAGGTACTTAACTTGCAATGAAACAATTAATCAATTCTTCACTTCTTTTAAAACACCGCAAGAAATCTTTGTCAATATTTATTCTAATTTTCAATTTCATGCTGCAACACAGTTACAAAACCACATTAACAAAGAAAGCAAAAGAGCACATTGCACCTTTCTGCCTTTCAGGGCATTATGGCATATTGTGAACATTAGGAAAAAAAAATAAGAGAGATTAAAGAGATTGTCAGTACAACTTGTATTGAGCTGCTGTTGTTTGTGCTATATAGGAAACAGCTATACCTTAACTATTTGTTAAACTAGTTTTAAATCAATTGGTTGCAGGACACCATGCTTAAAATTGGAGTTCTGAATCACTGTTGTGAACACATTGAATATGGGTGCAATGTTTGGGTCAAGTGAGAGTTGCATATTTATTTAATGGTGAGAAATATGGAATAGATCCTTGGAATTACATTTTTTTTTCTTTTTTTTTAATACAATCTCCAAATTTATAGCACTCAGGATGGAATATCCTGAGTTGGAAAGGACTCACACTCTTTCTGAACACATGCATATAAATGTACATATAATTATACAAATAAAGTATATAAATATATATGTATATATGATGTATACCACATAGTAAATGATGTATACCACATTTTGCCAGAGCAGCCGTGACACCGTAGAGATGTTTTGGCTACCACTGAGCAGTGCTGGCACCACATCAGGGCTGGCTCCAACCCAAAGCCATAGGCTGTAGGTGGGTGAGAGGTAGGATGGGAACACAGCCACAGGATCTTACCCAAACCTACCAAAGAGTTATTCCATACCTTACAATGTCAATAAAACATAGGAGAAAGATTGTGGGGGTGTAGGCAGAGATGTACACTTGTACAAAGGCAAATCTTCCAAAGCAACTGCTGCTCGTGCTGAGGCCTTACTTCCCAGCAAGTGGCTAGACATTGTCCATGGATAGGGAGTAGAGAATAATTTGGATTTTTTCCCTTTGCTTTCACATGCAGACTTTCCTTTTCTTTTTTAAAAACTGCAGTTATCTCAACCCACAAGGTTTTCCTTTCACATTTTCTCCCTGTGGCAGCGTGACATGGGTAGGCACCTGACAACCAGGTCAACCCTTCACAGCAGTTTTCAGAAACTCTATTTGTCTGGAGAGCCTTACAGATACGTAAGGTTTTATTTTAGCTGAATTCTGCATATAGTGTCAGGATGAATATAAAAACACGTTTACCAAAGCTACTTTCAAATGCTGACAAAAACAGTAGGTTTTAAAATTCTGATAGGTAAGAGCTACAGGACCCAAAGAAACCTAATAGTATGCCGTTTTTTTTTTAATGTTATCAGCCCATAGGTGATTATTTTAATCTTTCAGTGAATCTTAAATATGCACAGTCTGTGAGGGGACACAGGGGCTGCCGTGGCCCTGTGGGTCTCTGAGGGGACACCAGGCCGTGCTGTGACCCTGCAGGTCTCTGAGGGGACACGAGGCCTGAAACACAGAGCTGTGCTGCTTGGCATGGAGCCATTTCTGGTGGCCCTGAAGAGTTTCACTCACCGGCTGCCACCCACCCAGTTCATTTTCTGCTGCTGAGGAAGCAGGGAGGGCTGCCCCTGGCAGTGCTGGGGAGGGGGAGAGCTGGCGACAGGGTGCTGCCCCTGTGGGTGCGCAGCCCCAGGCAGGGCTCGCCTGTGGGGCCTGCTCCTAACCAACAGCACCAGGGCCACTGATCTCCATGCTCCCAATGCTAACAGAGAGGAGGGGCAGTGTGACACAGAGACAGAGAGCAGGAGGACAAGGAGAGCAAAGGGCTGATGGGCAGAAGGCAATGGTCTGGCTGCTGCCACCCTTCCTCTGCCATTGCCACTCCTTTAGAGTCTGCTGACAGAAACCATTTCCCCTTTGCCAAGGAATCACAATTATCTCTGCTGTCCCGTGTGCATGAAATGCACAGCTGTTGGAGTGCGTTACAGAGCAGCTGACATTGTCTGGCAGGCTCAGCCTCTAGTGCCACTGCTGCAGCTGGCACAGTCTGTAGGGCAAAAGATGAGTGCTGCCCTTCCCCAGGCATGCTGGGGAATCAACGAGCATTTGTTGCTATCAGGCACCCTCATTCTTGGAGCTGCCTGACAAGGTTTTGGAGATAAATGATGGCTCACCCTCACAAAAGGGTGGGAGGTCCCAGGACTGAATGGGGAACAATGCAGCTCCCCTTGCTCTTGTCCCTGCAACTCGCTGCCACTTATAAAACCACCAGTACAGTTTTATGTATAAATCTCCCATGGTGTCACTGTACTGAATTATCTTAACTTTTCAAGGTACCTGTTGGATAGCTGTTGGTACAACAATGAGCAGAGTGCTAAGAGTAGATGTTAGAAGACTAACATTAAAAATTAGCCAAGCATTTTCTTTAATTTTTATAGTATTTTTATAGAATCCATGGCTATAAGATTGGAAAAGTGAAAATGCCTGTTTCTTTAATATAACCAGTTAAACTGAACAAAGTTATTGGACAGAATGTGTTATTGTTGTGATAGCTCAGATATTTCTGATCAATAAGCCTAATTGTTTATTGTAGCACTATTAGATTAAAAATATATATACTTTACGTGGAAGATTTTGAAGTGTTTGTTTATGCGCAACTCATCAGCTACTATGACAGATCATACTGAAAGATTAAACTCATTTGATCAGTTTCTACCTTGTTTGTATTTCCACCCTGTGTAAATGTTTAACATGTTAATATTATGTCTAACAATGTCCTTTTTTTTCCTAACATAGTATCAGTATTACTCTTCCTCTCGCACTTCTACATCATTATCTGGATTTAAAGGAAAAAACTACACTTTTATTTCTGCTTGATTTATTGAATCCAGTAGGTAACAGCACTTTGTAGAATCAAGGAAAAGTGATGTGGCAGCTTCAAACAATTCTTTTTAATGTAAGAAATCTTCCCCTCCCAGAATTCATTTCTCCAGATAA